AGGATTTACTCTACAAAATTCTATTTTATATAGAAAATAGTGTATTATATAAGGAGGTGAGGTTCTGACCCTGCTGTGCAGGCATCCATTGCATTCCTTCTAATCTCTTTCCTCCTAAAGGAGGCATTAAAAATCTTTCATATTATCACAATATATAATTGAATATGTTTCTGATATTTAGTATTAATCAATCTTCACCCTAGCAGGAGATTCAGAGATCCTTCTTCAGGGCAATCTCTGTCACCCAATATCCAGTTGAGTCTCCTACAACTGTGTATGCAACCCTCTCTCTGATTAATTTTGCTGAAATAAGGTTTTAATAAAACTCTTTGGCTCTATTTTTAAAAGTGAGGGGTAGTTCTCTTTAATGTTCATCTCAGTAATGTTTGTTCTCAGTGTTGTTTTCAATGGGCTGTGCTGGATTTGCTGTTGACAGGGAGAACAAGGAGTAAGGGGCCCCCCAGGTCCCCCAGGACCAGCACCACACATGAAGGAAAAAGGGAGTGAAATCATCAGGGGGGAAAAGGTGAGACTTTAAATGATTCATCTTGCACTTTTCATCAAGATAGGATCAATAAGAATTAGCAAAGAGAAGTAAAACAGGAAAAATATTGTCCCCTACAGCCTGTTTTTCAAAAAGTCTCTATTTTACTTCAGGAATGAAGTTTGGTTGTTTTTCTAGAAGTTTCTCTGACAAATATGTGATAAATGATAAGCCATTATGCATTTCTAGATAAATAAGTAGTGCACAGCAGCAGAGGACTTTCTGGGGAAGGAGGATTGATAAGCATCATCTTGTAAAACCCAGATATTCTAAAAATTTGAATTAAGGAGCTTATATTGGACTTTTCAAATACAGAATCACGTTAATGGAATCTGAGTGCTACTTAGTTTTTAAATGTGCTTTTGCAGACATGAAGAAATTCACAATTTGCATCTTAAATGAATAATTTTGCTTACTAATAACATGTTTTAACAATTATTTCATTAGGGTGATCCAGGTGAAAAGGGTGAACCAGGAGCCCCGGTAAGTATTGTGTAGATTTTTTGTTGGTTTTAGTATAAAAATGATGAAGAATGTGATAAATCTGATTATAGCTATTTGGTAAAAGGGAATTTGCTTTAGAATCTGGCAGTGTTTTTAATCCACCCTGCATTTGTTTCCCAGGGATTGCCAGGTTCTGGTTTCAAAGGAGAAAAGGGTGAACCTGGGAAGCCTGGTCCACGTGTAAGTATGTTCAACTTTATCAGCACCACAATTAAAACTGTTTTATTGTTTCCATAATCCAATTAAACATAGAAACCCTTAGTGAAACATCAAATCTGGTGTATTTTAAACGAGCAAGTTTTGCTGTAGGACAGGTGTAGAAGTCAAGGTTAGGAATAATGTCCAGTAGTACCAGTATGTCCCATGGTCAATTTTATATCTAAAAATTATAAAACCTACCCCTCTACTATACAAAGATCAAATATTCTGTCATCCTCTCAGTAAAGATGTGTGATGGGATTGTCTTTGCCATCCTATATGTGTTTTTACTCTTAGATGAGGTCTTGAAAGCTGGAAGAGTGTAGAAATGCTGGCCTAGAATTTCTGGAGGAAACCAGAGAGTCTTTGAATTGTTCCAAAATACAGCTTTCCATTTCTGCAGAGCACCCTGAACAAAATTTCTGAGCTATTTTGTATATAGCTGTTGTGTTTAAATCACTTCTGAAATTAAGAGGAAGCTTGAAGGATGAGCAGAGGTTAAGAGCTGGTATTCTAATTGCATAGAATTAAACCATATGATTCCTTCCCATCACTCTGTATGCTTGAAGACTCTCCTGACTTAATAGATTTCTGTTTTTAATTAATCATATAAAAAGACCTGAACCTATTCTTTATAAGGTTCCATAGCTGCACACTTTGATGGTGGTGGCCTGTTCACATTTGTTGTATTGTTTGTATCCTTCAACTGCATTGTTTAAGATGGATTTTTCTACCTAAATTGTTGGGATTATTTTTTGGACTAAACTGCAGGCTTTGTGTATTATGAGCAGAGATAAAGAGCTGGTATTCTAGTTTCATAGAATTAAATAATGTAGAAACCATTAAACCACTGTATGCTTGAAGACTCTCCTGACTTAATAGATTTCTGTTTTTAATTAATCATATAAAAAGACCTGAACCTATTCTTTATAAAGTTCCATAGCTGCACACTTTGATGGTGGTGGCCTGTTCACATTTGTTGTATTGTTTGTAATCCTTCAACTGCATTGTTTAAGATGGATTTTTCTACCTAAATTGCTGGGATTATTTTTTGGACTAAACTGCAGGCTTTGTGTATTAAGTATTTACTTTTTCTTGGGTTTATGGGACCTACTCTTACTGCTTCTGATATGGATACAGTCTAAGCACTGGGACACCAACTCAAAGCCTCCAGTGCCTTAGGCTAGAAGGTGCCACTCCATAGCCCATGAGAAGAGGAAGGGAATGCTGGCAAGTCCCACTAGGTCCTTTATCACATAGCTGTTGATGAGCTCAGGGCAATCTAGTCCCCTCTTTAGGCTAACACAGTGGTCTAGTAGTGAATCATTTTGCCCTGGAGGAGGTGGGCTTGGATTCTAGGTTGTCATCCACCTTGTGGTTTGAAATTGCAGCTTTCCAATTAGAGGAACTGGGTTTTACCACTAGATTATCATGAGATCTGATGCAGGGCCACTCTCCAAAGCCTTCTGCTGAAGGTGACCCACCAAATGTCTATGAATAAAGGTTTTTGTGAGGATGGAGAGCATATCTATCTATCTATCTATCTATCTATCTATCTATCTATCTAAAAAGGGATTTCTATGAAGGAAAAGTTTCTGGCTTTGGTTCCATTTTCTTGTGCTGTTGATATTTTTTATCTTGAGGCTTTCTGGACTGGGGAATCCATGTTATTCCTGGATCTGGGAACAGATTTACAGGATTTCATTTAATTCTGCAGCTTGTAGGGTGTTGAGTAGCATAGCATTATGTCATGACAGTTTACCTACCTTGATAGATAGAAAGGGATTGCTATGAAGAAAAAAAGTTTCTGGGTCTGGTTCCATTTTCTTGTGCTGCTGATATTTTTTATCTTGAAGCTTTCTGGACTGGGAAATCCTTGTTATTCCAGGATCTGGGAACAGATTTAGAGGATTTTGTTTAATTCTGCAGCTTGTAGGGTGTTGAGTAGCATAGCATTAGGTCATGACAGTTTACCTACCTTGCACCCTCTGCTCTACAGCAGTGGTTGCTTTGTCCTAGTGTTTCACCCACTGTCTTTGGAAGTTGCATTTATGTGGTTGTCTCTTTAAACAGAGTGGAATTTGGTATTTTACAGGGAAAACCTGGAAAAGATGGTGATCCAGGACCCAAAGGAGACCCCGTATGTATTTTACTGATTTTTTTTGGTACTATTTTTCACATACAAAACAACAGAAGTGCCTTTGTCTTACAAAGAGTTGACATTTTCTGACCTTCTGAAGCATTTCCTTGAACTTGTTGCTTTCAGTGAATTAGTGACTGGTTTGAAAATGAAAAACTTTGATGCTGCCAGAGTTAAGAGACAACTGTATTTATGTTTTATGGGTTTTCTGTCTTTTACACACAGGGTTTGCCTGGTGGGTTTGGGATTCCAGGACGACCTGGGGAGCCTGGCACAAAGGTGAGTAGTGGTGGCCTCTTGTTTGGTGTCACCCAGGAGGAGGAGTTAAAGATGTGCCTTGAAGAAATGAGTGCACATAAAGCAAGATTAAATGAATATTCCTGAGTTGTCATCCCTCAGAGACCAGGAAAATTCAAAATTCAGGTAGCTTAGGTATCTCAATTTTAGATCCCTTACATGAATTGACTTTATTTTCACAAGCTCTTTGCCCAGCCAGCATCTGTAAAAATACTCTCCTAAAAATTCCAGTTTCTCCTTACAAAGTTTAAAGCAGTACAAGCCTGCAAACTACTTTCTTCTTATAAAAGTCCAGGCACTTCCCATTTGGAAGTTGTATGAATCCATGATCAAAGTATTCATTTGCTAAGGAAATTCCTGGTTTAGGGGGAAGAAAATCTGATCTGGATTGAAACTCTAAATTGTATTTTGATTTAGGGTGACAAAGGTGAACGAGGTTTTCCAGGACCTCCAGGAAGAGTAAGTAAAATAAATTTATTCATTTTATTTTAAACTTCAATGAAAATTTCCATGTTGTGAAAGTCAAAGTGCTGAAACAACGAGGAAAAAAAGAGACTTTGCATGTTGTGGTCTCATCCTAACCACTCATGTCCTCATTTTTTCTTCATGGAAACCAAAATTGGTTGCAGTATGTTTGAAATTTGGGAAGGGAGCTGTTGGAGAATATGAATTTCAAGTGTTTTGGACTATGAAAATGATAGGCACTCTTAATCAATACAAAATATCAAAAAGAGAGTTCAAAAGAGTAAGTCTGTCAGATTTGCAGTCTATATATAATCTTTTTAATATGTCAAATAAAAAATTGCTTATTCAGCAATAAATAGATGGTGCTGCCTCTCCTACATGGAGGATAATTCCCTCCATCTGATTATTTGATATCAAAAATTGGGCACATTTCCTGAATATTTTATTGTCAATGCTTATGTCTTTTAGGTCAGCTCAGGTCAGTGTTAGCAAAAATGGCCAGAACAGAGTATTTTATAATTAAAGGTAAAACAAACCTCATGGGTCAGTGCTTGGACCACACTGAGGTTTCTTAGCATCATTCTTGTTCAGAAAGGTGCCATGAAGATCTCCACATATTCCTACTACTGAAGGAATTGTGGTAGAATAGGAAATACTTATTTTCTGTACTAATTCCTCAGCAACTCCAACCCTCTCCCAGCAGTTATTTGCTGCTGAAATGGCAAATCTGATTCAAACTGCTCCAAAGGGTTATTCCAAACCAAAATGACTTGTGTGCCATCAGGTCAAGAGGATGTAGGTGCAAACGAGGGCACAGTCGTGTGTTTCTAGTGTCCTGGTCTGTGTCCTGTCATGCAGGTGATAGATGCTGGACCCATAGATACCTTTGGGGAAAAAGGAGACCCTGGAGTTTCGGGTTTGCCTGGGCTGAAAGGTCAAAAAGGTGAAAAAGGTATGAATTTTGTCTTGGTTTTTTTTTTCATGGAGGTATGCTTTGAGTTTTCTTATTAAAGAAAATGAAAATTGCCTCATCTGTGAGCTCTGCAGGACAGTAAAGTGCTCCAGTTATTTGTTGTATTTAATTGCTTTCAGGTCATTAGGTTTTGTTGTAGTTTGTAGGCTGCTTCTTGTCATAGGTGAGACTGTCTTTCAGTTTTAGGGTGGAGAAGGATAATCTGGGATCTGTTTTTATGGCAGTTGAGTAATCCAATGACATTTAAGAAAGATGAAAATCAACATAAGCATTAAGAGCATTAAATTAGTTAAATTTTAATCTGAAAGTTGGCTTGTAGCATTTGGAAAATTTCAGGAAACAGAGAAAACCAAACGTTCTCTTTCCTGTTTCCCCAGTTACAGACCTTGCCCTGTGGATGAAAGCTCAGTGGAGAAGATGACACACAGCAGGGCCCTTTCCCTAAATGTGTTGTTTGCAGATATCTAGAGAAGATTTAATTTAACCTTTGATTCAAGGCACGCTAGCTTGTAATATGTCCTTAAGCAATAAGAGCTAGAAGTTCACTGACATTGGCATTACTGACCTCATTGCCTAACAGCACACCTCTCTTTCTGAAGGTTTCCCTGGCATCCAAGGAGCCCCAGGACCTCCAGGTAGGAATTTATGGTCACTGAGATTTTTTTCTGTGTCATTCCTGAGTGAAGACTCCTGAGAGATGTTCTCCTTACCTGCTGCCAGTTCTCAGCTACTGACAGAACTCCTTTTTTCTACCTGGACAGTGAGCTAAATATGAAATTAATGTAAGCCAAGGTCAGAGAGATTCTAGGGGATTTTTCAGAGTTTAGGGAGGTGATATTATGTACCCCAGGCTGTATAAACCTATTATATGGTAGCTCTTAGTCTGTCATTACCCTACAGAAGTGGAGTTTTGACTGTCAGATCTCCCTGCAATGCTGCAGGAGGCTCAAAATGATTTAGGGATCCAGTCTAGTGAGTTATGAACTGAAATAACTCATTAAAGTATGAAGAGCTGTGAAACTGTACAACTAGCTCAAAGGAGATTTGCCAGCTGTTAAACTGCTTCTCTTTATTGCCTGTTTTTGGCTTATTATTCCTCCAAACAGCTTCAGTTTCAACATTCCTGAAATCTGCTAGTACTGTTAAATACTTATTTTTATTTTCTTATCTATTTTCTTTATTTTCTGAAGTTCTTAGACACACTGCCCCTGGCTAGATGTGTTTAAGATTTCATTTATTATGAGATAAGAAAGTCTGCAATGGTTTGTAAGTGTAATAACTAAAGTAACTCCTGTGTTGCCACTATTTATTATGCAGGAAAAGTTGGTTCAGTTAAATCTCAGAAAAGCAGAGGTGTGATCTCAATTTTGTCTTAATCACCAATAGTGAAAATTCAGCCCCCTTTTTATTCAGCACTAATGTTTCTCCATCTCTCTCTGCAACCTAATGGAAGCTTCTGTGTTGTTACTGTCTCTTCACTTGTCACTTTATTCATCTAAGTTTTACTCTCTCCAAAGGTCGACCGATTCCAGACAGGGTGGGATCACCTGGTGTCCCTGGGCAGAGAGGTGAAAAAGGGGAAAAGGGTTCTCCAGGCTTCCCTTTACCTGGACCCCCTGGGAGAGATGGTTTCCCAGGTCCCCCAGGGTTGCCTGGCCCACCAGGTCCTCCAGGAGTAACAGGTGGGTGAAGCTCTGGGTTGCTGGGTTGGTGGGTTTCACACTGCTTGCTCATTAAAAAAAAAACAGAAAAAAGAGGCAAGGTTATAAAATATATAATCAGGATGTATCTACAGCATTTCTGGGTTGTTAACAGGCCAATTAAAAGCTTTTCCATGAGGCAGCAAGCAACTTCTGTCTTATTAAGACAAGGAATCTTTGCCAAATAGATGTTTTTAAGATGTCTTCAAAATATTATTGTGGATTGTTAGTAACTAAATAACTAAATGATATTATAACTATAACTATATATATAACTGTTATGACTCTAATAATTATAACTAAATAATTGACCTTAATCCATATTGGCTTCTTCTGTGTCCTGATGTGCTGACTTAGAGGTATTTGCAGATTTTCAATGAATAAAATAAGATACTAATATTGTTTTTAACACAGAAGATAGCTGTTGAGTGTCACAGTTTCCAAGCACCAATTTCTATCTAACAGGTATAAGAACTGCAGGCTGAGATACTAAGCCAGAAGTTTTAATTGTATAATGAAATTATCTTAAAGGAGAATGGGTGTAGAGGTAAATTAAAAGCTAGTGGTGATGTGCCAGGTAATACCAGTAGTGATGATAACAACATTATACAGCTATGTGTAATTAGATTCTGATAAAACATCTTTAAAGAGAAAGATGTTTTGGTTTTGTCCTGCAATGAGGCAATGAAAAAAGTACATGTGGATGCTTAATAGCCCCTTATAATTGATGTTTTAACTCTTCTATTGAAGTAAAACCTTGGCTATAAGTGATACTGATACTGTGAGTGGAATTGTTGTTTCAGCATCAAGAATTCTGTCACTGTTACAGTAGATCAGGTAGGCTGAAGTTAGAGAAATGAAGATTCTTCTTTGTGGAATAAACCAAAACTACTGAGTGCAAAACCAATGGAAGATGCCCAGTTTGTCCTGTCTTTGCTGATGAAGCAGTACTAAATCCAGCACCTAGAATACAGAAATAAATACCTAAATCTTGCCTTCCCCTAAAAATGAGAGCAATTATTGGTTTCCATACAGCATATTTCTGTCACTGCTTAATTATCCCCCTTCCCCAGATGCTTCTTTAGCTTTCTTCAAGTGCATAATGGGAAACAATTCTCATTTTACTGTCATTTGCCAGATTTCACATGAACATTTTGACTGCTGGCTTTGACCAAAGTGATGCCAAAGTGTATTGGATCAGAACCTGTGCTGGGTCATCAAATAGAGCAAGCATGATTTGTAGTCTTATATCAAGCTTGCTAAATATTCTCATTTGTTCCTTAGTTCAGTTCCTAATTTATAAAGTTCCTTGTTTTCAGGAAGCTTGATCAGTGTGAAGAATTTAAAGAGATGTTACCAAGCTGCTTTTGACCTAGAAAGTTTCCTAAAACATTGAAAACAAAAATCAGGTTGCAAAGAACTCTATTTAATGATTTTTTTTCAGAAAATCTGTATTCTTCATTCTCTTCAGGCTGAAATCAGCAATTTTTCACTCACAGCAGTTTTCATAGCTGAGACTGGGACATTCATAGCTGCTGCCCTATAATGGAAACTTTTACTTGTCAAATGAATCATAGAATCCTATTTTTCTTGCCCTTCCACTGCAGATGGAATTGATCAATGCCAGCAGGGAGAACCTGGTGCCCCTGGGACTCCTGGACTTCCAGGAAGAGATGGATTTCCTGGGGAGATGGGAGAGAAAGGTAATACTGTTTTATAGAATCATAGAGTCTTTTAGGTTGAAAGAAACCTCCAAGATCATCAAGTCCAACCATCAAGGCAACACTGCTAAGTCCTCAGCAAAAACAGAATCAGTTTTAAAGTGATTTGAGCTTGAGTATGTAAAGAGGATGAGCAACTCAGGCTGGATGCAGAGAAAGTGTGCTTAAAGTTAATTAAACAAATACTCCATGGACACAGAAGATGTTTGTTGAGTCTCTGATGAGTAAGAGAAGGATTTTGTGCGTTGAGGTGGCTGACACAAATCTCACTTCCCTTTCACTTCACCTCCACATTGCTGGGAGGTGCTAAAGGATGGCTCAGGGCTGAAGGAGGAGCTGGAAGGAGAGAAGGGGTTGAGTTGAGCCTCATTAGGTGTCAGTGGAACTCTTCATGGCAATTTAAGATGGGAATTCTGAAATGAAGAATTAGGGACGGGCCGAGGAGTTGGGAATGGAAATGGTTTATGAATATATGACTATAACTGAAGCTGAAATTGGAACCCCTCTAAACAGGACTGTCAGCCAGGCATTTTAGCAGCATGGGCTACATGGACATGTGAAAAAATGAGCTAAACTCATTCACACAATGGTTGAACCTTCCTAATTCTGTTCTGCTCACTGCTTTCCTTTTTCTTCCTGCTTTAATCTTTTTATTTCTTCTATACCCAGTGTATATTTATTTTCTTGGCTTTGATCCTCTTCAGCCTGGTCCCTTTTAACTATTGTGCTAAATATTATCCCTAGGATAAGACTTAAGTTCTTTTTCATGCCATTCTTTTAAAATTATTGAAGAATGTCAGTTTGCTGATAGATTCTCTTTGAAGCACACAATTAGAAGTAGCACATGTATTTGGATTTTTTCAACATAAAATATATTAAATTGATATTTTCTCCTGAGTCCACCTGCTTGCAGTTGTCTTAAATCTTTTCACTGTTCTTCATTAGTTTTGTTGGGGATTTTTTTTCAGGTGACAAAGGTGAAGCCTGTGCCCTGTGTGATAAAGTAGGACCACCTGGACTTCCAGGACCACAAGGGCCACCAGGTCCAGCAGGTAAAAAAATCATTAATTACTTGAGAATTAACTATGTAGGCTAAAATTAAAAATACAGCAGGTAGAATAAAATCAGTAATTTTTTGTCCCACTAATCCAGACAACTTCAGTGAGTTTAGCAGCATTATTCTGATGTAAGTTGGGATGGAAGGTGAACACTTTGAGAAGGATCACAAAAATATTCACATACAATGGGCTGTTTGTAAAAGCATGTAATAAATAGGACTGGTTTTTTTTTGTCTCTCTGATAAGGTTTTCCAGGACAATCAGGCTTCAAGGGTGACAGAGGCTTACCTGGACTTGATGGTCTTCCAGGGGTACCTGTAAGTAACACCTTGCCAAGTGCTGTGTGTCCTAGGAGATGTCAAAACCCACCTGAGCTTGAGTCCTGTTGTGCAATAGCTGTTTAAAACCAGTTAGATGATAAAATGAAGCCACTGTGCCTAGCAAAATAAACTAGGAAGCCTTGAGGTTGGGGTAGGAGAGGAAAAAGAGCTGTCAGAAAGGGGTTCTGTTTCTGCTTTTGCCCAAGGTATGAGCTCAGCAGCACCCGTGACCTTCTGGCTGAGCAAGCTCAGCAGTGGAGCTGGGTAAAAAGCAGGAGTTCAAAGGAAGCAGAATCTTGTGAATCATTTCAAGAAGTCTTTGTGTACATATACCTTGAGAGACAGTGCCATCTAGTGTGGTGTGAGCAATCCAAGAGTAGCATTGAATATCCTTCAGCAGCTTGAATTTTGGGAAATTCGTGTTGAACAGTCCATAAAACATAATTGGTTAACAGGAGGGCTAAAGAGTTTTGGAGAAATAAAGGAAGGCTCTGAAGTTAAACCAGCCCACTTGTATGGATTCCTTATTGAAGGAATCTGTTTCTCTCCCCTGGGTATAAATGAAGCCTAGATGCCTGAATTCAGCCAACAAAAGTTGGAGTCCCTGCTCTATTTCCACCACAACAGATAAGATGATGTTATTCAGTGAGTGCATTGACTCTAATATCAATGTAATCCATGAAAGAAACAGTGGAGAAAATTAAAAGACATCTTTAGGTATTTAAGCTTTTTTTTCATGCCTGGCTTTTGTTCTCAGCACGTGTTTTGCCACACCTTTATATTTTCCTTTTATTGCCTCATAAATTCTGTTCATGTCCCTCATCAGTCAAGGTCTGGCTGCTGTTCTGAATTCTTTTAAGCCCACTTTACTCCCCTCTGATTCATTTGGAATTAGAGAGGCTGTTCCTGGGAGAAAAGTTCATCTAAGTCCTAGAAAATAAGCAGGGAAGAATTGGAATTTGGGAAACCCTATAGGTATATTATTAGATGGATAATTTCTTCCCAGGAGAGCTTAGAAAACTCCTTTCCAAGGATGTGTGTAGTGTTGTGATAGTGCCAGCTGACTGTGGTGGTTAATTTTACAATATCAATGAACATCAGTAATGAAGGGAAGTGTATTTCTGTCAGCTAAATGTCACAAATAAACCACCCAGGGAGAAGCCTTCAACCTTTAATTAGCCTTAATTGAGCAAATAAGGTTTGAGATTCTCATAAGACAATTAATTTCATTTCGTAGATGTTCTATAGACCTGATTAATATTATGGTTGATTTGAAAGGTTCTGAAAGAAAGAGAATCATCAATTAGAGGATTCAGCACTGGAGGGTTGGGGCAGACACTTCAACTCTGAAAATGTCTTTTTAAAAAGCTTCCTTTGCCTTCATGCTGATATTGTATAAATATGGACAACTGAAATCCAGGGAGGAGTCCCTTGAAAAGTCAGGGTGGTTTTTTGGTGGCATGACCTGTATTTTCCATGTAAGTGGTGTAAGATGATAAGCACCATCTAAACTGAGAGAGCTGTAATACAGCAAATCACAGAATGGTCAAGGCAAGAAGATTTGCTTTAGTTCTTTACTCACACTGCTGTGGCTTGGGAGATGTTCTCCTTTGACCTCCTCAATCAAAAGTTGACTTGATTTGGGTCTACTCTTTAATTTCTGAAGATTTTGTATCAGTTGAAAGGTTGGTTGGGCAACTGGTGACATCTGAATTTCTGACATTTCAGGGCCCCCCCGGTGCTCCAGGACTTATGGGCAGGCCTGGGGCAAAAGGAGAACCAGGAGACTTTACTTATGATTCTATCCTGAAAGGTGAGAAGGGAGATCCTGGTTTCCCAGGACAGCCAGGTACTCCTGGAAGAGAAGGAAGACCAGGAAAGGATGGATTGCCAGGTCTCCAAGGTCCAAAAGGAGCAGCAGTAAGTGTGTTTCTTTATGTTTATCTGCCTCATTAATTGTCCCACATCTTATGTGGAACTCACTAATCATTAGCTCCTCTAACTCATCATTCATGAACTCATCTAAGTTGAGTAGTTCATTCTTCCTCAGAGGAAGACTCCAGTTGCCTTGGAAGTGGTGAGGAAGATGGTCCTTCAACAACAGGCTGTTTCAGAGTTAGATTTTGGCTCTTGCTTTCCACGTGTCATGCACACAAGTGGTCTGACTGAGATGTGCTCAGCATGGCTTGGTGCTTTGAGGACTTTAGGGCAAGGCAACTTCCCCCCACAAAGTTGTGGGCGTGGATAATGGTTTTATTCCTTTCTCCCTTTCTCACAGCTTGATCTTGAAGTAGTGTGGCTGATTTAGGTGGTATCTGGAGATGCTTAAGGACATGCATTATGCCAAGCAGAAGTTAAGACAAGATTCCACTCTGTTCTAGCACACTTCTCTTCTTGTGGAAACTAACACTTCAGATTCTTGCACTGACAGAGAGTTCAGCTGATGTGGATGTGGAGCTGAATGTGAAGGTCATATCTGCTCCCAGATCCACCACTGGGAGCAGAGCCAACATGGTCCAGTTAGCTCCATGGCCCACTAGGTGTGATTTCCATGTGCTATTCTACATGGAACCCAGTTCTGTTTCCATTGAACACATTGATAAATCTACTTTTTTTCAGCATTATAGATACTTGTTCTAAATCCAAGTTCCAAAATGTTCAAAGAGAGAGGGTGACGTGTTCTCTCTTGCCAGATAGGTAAGAAATACACTTCTACTTTCCAAAAATTAGGGTACCACTGGTTTGAAAGGAGAACGTGGCCCCCCTGGCCAACCTGGATTCCCTGGAGTACGTGGTGAAAGAGGTTTTCCTGGCCCTCCTGGGATAGGTGCTGCAGGGCTCCCTGGTGACAAAGGAGACAGAGGCCTTGCTGGGACCCCAGGTTTACCAGGCCTACCAGGTAATGATATAGTATGCCTAAAAAAAAATTAAATAAATCATAAATAAAAGAAAAATTGTGCCCTTCAAGTGTTACCACTTAGAGGATCATTGGAATTTAGGACTGAAATTAAAAGGCTTTCTAATTTCTATTATTATTATTATTATTATTATTATCATTATTATTATTTCTTCTATATCTTCTTTCTAATTTCTAATTTTCTACAATTCTAATTTCAATCAGTGCTTGCTTTCAGCAGTCTAATTCTTCTCTAATCTTTGAGAGAAGTTTTCTTGAAGAATTTATTGGGTCAAGTGGGATGGTTTAGGTGCATCCTGGTTTCTCTGCATCTTCTGCAAAGAAACCTTTTAACAGATCAGTTGTAATGGATGGACTAATGTTGCTGGCTACATGAAACTGCCTTCTTTAATTCCATCAGTTCCTGTCCTTCATGCATCTTGACTTTTCCAGGAGCAAAGGGTGAAGCAGGACGAACTGTGCCGCTCCCTGGACCTCCTGGGGCAGATGGTCTGCCTGGGCCACCTGGTTTCCCTGGGCCCCAAGGTACCTCTTCATCTTCCCCTGATGCTCATCAAGGCTCCATTCCCCAGAAGCCAGACTTTGTATTAACACCTGTCTTGTTTTCACTTCCCAAAGGTGACAAAGGGAATCCTGGGCTTCCAGGAAGACCTGGCCTGCCAGGAGAAAAAGGTGCTGTTGGGCAGCCAGGTATAGGGTTCCCTGGACCTCCAGGACCCAAAGGTAAGATAAAGTTATCATTCCTGTGGTAGGCTTTTCATTTTTAGCTGAAGAATCTCTTTTAAGAGCTCTTTTTATCAGCATGGAAAGTGGTAGAGCACAACATCTCACCCTGCAGCAGCTGGGGTGGCTGAGAGCTAAGATGACCCTTCTGAGAGATGAAGTGCTGTGTGTGGCTGGTCAAAAAACCCCATGCTGATCTAACTCTAACATTTTTGGGCCAGAGCTAGCCCAAACCCACTGGAGAGTGGTTTGGTTAGAATATCAGCTTACTTAGAAGTCAGGGAATTGTCAGGGTATCCACATAGCTTAGAGGGACTCTAAATATTCATATCCTAGTTTTGGCCTTTTGGGAGATGTGTTTTCTACTGCTGCCACTCATTTAGAACTAGATGATTTAGCTTCTCAGCAGCCACCTCAATCCTCACAATTCTTGTGTGTCTTCATTATTATTTCATTTATTATCGTTCCCCACACCAAGGAACTGAGATGGTCAGAAAGGCCAAATCTTTACCTGGGACCACCTCTGGTTCCTCTGGGGCTGATGTGGAATGAAGCTGGAGAGCAGCAGCCCATTGCATTTGGAGAAGGATTGATGTATGGTTTTGGGGCTAAAGGACTGGCATACTAAATACCTTCCTTTCAAGGACCCTTCTTTGAATTCAACTCTGCCTTAACTTAGCCTGAAAATGGGATTTCCCATTCCCTGAGACCATTTGAGAGGGGTGACAGAGCATTTCTTTCTTCTGAGTGGTTGTTTCTCATCAGGAACAAATTGCTGCATGAAGCTGAGATGTTTCAATCTCTCTTGAGACTCTTGGGTGCTGGCATCCTTAGATATTGAACATAAAAGACTGCACAGACCTTTTTAAACACTCCCCTGT